CGACCTTTGTAGGGTCCACACTTATGCGGTCCTTAGAGACTTGAAAACCTAGGAATTTCCCTGAAACTACGCAAAAGGAACATTTCTTTGGATTGAGCTTCATGTTGATTTTTCGGAGAATCGTGAAGATTTCTTTCATGTCCTCTACTATTTTGTAGTCGAGATTACTCTTGATGACCTTATAAGCTACATAGATCTCGATATTGCATCCAATTTGCAAGTGAAAGGCTCTGTTTACCAACCATTGATAAGTGGCTCCAGCATTCTTCAGTCCAAACGGCACTTTTATCGTAGCAGTAGACTACAAGTTCGGTGATGTAAGCCGTTTTTTAGTATCTTCTTGGGCCATGAAGATCTGATGATATCCCTTGTAGCCGTCGAGGAAGTTGAGAGTTCTAAACCCGGTGATTCCTTCAACCATTTGGTCAATAACCGGCAAAGTATAGCAATCCTTGGGGCAATGCTTGTTGAGGTCGGTGTAATCTCGGCACATGGGCCAGGAGTTGTCTGGCTTTCGGACGAGGACTGGATTAGATAACCAAGTGGGCCAGAGAACTTCTCGAAGAATGTTGGCACGAACTAGTTTAAACGCTTCCTCGTTAATGACGTTGCAGTCTCGATCTAAGATTCTCTTTTTTTGTTGTACTGGTTTGACATTGGGATTTACGTTCAGCTTGTGCTCGATTATTTTTCGAGCGGTCATATCAGATGGTGCCCAAGCAAAGATATCATGGAACTCCCGTAGCAAGGCGATTACCTCGCCCCGTAATGTTCTGTCTATAGACACTCCAAGTTGGATAGTTTTTTCCGTCTCGGAGCTTATGTTGATAAAAGTAATTCGGAAGATGGTCTGAGTTATCTTTTCGTTTGGCAGTGAGAAGTGTCAATGTGGTTTCGTGCTTGATCTTTTTGCCTAGAATTGATTTATCGGCTCTGAAGACATGTAGTCAACTGTGTGGGCAATCAGAATGTTCTTCAAGCAACACTGCAATTGAAGAGTTTGCCGAAGATTCAGAGTCTCAGACTGCGGAGAAAATAGTAACATATCAGTGGAATTCATTTGTTCATTTGTTGGACTTCATTATGTCTCTTTGTATTTTTTGGTTTCTGATTTTTGAAACATTTTTTTTTCCTAGAATTAATATGAAATAATTGAATTTGGTAGCTATAAATCTTTATTTTAGAGTCAAGATGATATATACTGTTTGATGATGGATATCGCCCATTGACTGAATTCATATTTTGACAGAGCTTTATAATTCAGATTTGAGCACTTTCACCCATATTTTTTTGAAATCATTGAATTACTTCGTAATAAGAATCTATGTGAAGCTAAGAAGGTTCCAATTCATGAAGACAAGGAATTGGAGGGAGAAGTTGTTAAGAATTTGAGGAATTGATGCGCCAAAGCAGAGCGGCCACAATCTTTAGCTTTGGAGATTGAATGGAAATCCTCCATGGTAATATGAGTTGGTCCTAGAGATTGAATAGAAATCCTCTAAAGATTTTGAGTTGTTTGGTACTATGTTTTGGGTTTTTTTCTCATCCCCGGTTATGTTAATGTTGGGGTCGATCATAATGAAGTTTCCTCTTACTCCCGAGCTTGAATTATTGAAGTGTTTTTGCTAACTATCATTGGCATGTATACATCTGATGATTACTTAGATGATGATTGAGAGTGATTGGGTTGGGACCCGAAAATTACTAAAAAAATCAGTACTGCATAATTTCTTTGACATGTTTGTTGTTCCATAATCAGTTTGAGGATAGCTACATAATAATGGGTTCCAGTTTGGAGTAGAAAACCCCAAACTCCAAAACGACAACATTTTGGGGCTTTATGGTTCCCCCTCTAATCCTCGCTGCTTCCTAATCCCCCCATTCCGGACCTCCGATGCCCTTGATAGAGTCGACACGCAATCAGAAACTTCCACGGTAAGTTTCAAGGATGAAAGAATAGATGCGTAAATATCTAAAAATATCACAATTAGAAACTTCCCTTGATGGCTTGATCAGAAACATCTTTCAGGCTCCGGTGACATGGATGAAGCTTCAAGGCAGGTTCGAGTGCGGTTTGTGACAAAGCTGAAACCCCCATATAAAGCACCACCAACCTCTATTACCATTCCTTCCAACCTCACCCGCTTGGGTCTCTCTACTATTGTCAGTAGTTTCCTCAAAGCTGATAATTATTCTAGAATGTTTTCCCATCTAATTATTATAAACCGTTTACAGTTGCTGTTGGTTTGATTGTTCCTTTTGGAACTATTCTACTGTTTTAGGTTGTTTCATTTTTTTGGTATTTGCGAATAAAAGTAGTACTTTTTGGAAAATTTTGTTGTCTAAGTTGCTAAATTGATTTTGCAATATATATGTTAATAAAGCTTTGGCTAATTATTCCGTGATAAATGATGATTGGAAGAATGAAGCTTTTGATTTTCTTATTGATGGGAAGCTTTTACAGATGTCCTTGGAAGAATTTCTAAATGCCAAAAGTATCTCAGCTATAAGTAATGATTTTTGACAGTTTTGCTACTTCACTAATGTTATTTATGATAAAATCCAGTATTTGTGGCTCTTTTTATGGCACTTATGCAACCTTTCAGAGAGCCCAATTTTCTTTGTCTAGGTTGTTGGTACATCCCTTTAAAACAACTTCCGAATCTATAAGCTATCAGGGGTTTCTGCAATATACACCTACCATTTTTGTTATTTTGTGTTGTTGTTCTCTGGTTTATAACTATAGAAATTTTGGCACATTACAGGAGAAAACTCTTAAGATTGAATACATCAAAGCCGGGTCCCACGGACGGTAGAGGAGCCTTCTCTACATGATGATTTGGTTAGTGCAATTGATGGTTCAAGTTCCAAGTATGCCTCTTCTCTTCCTGAGTTCTGTATGCTTTTCATAGAAATATTGTGCTATAACATTCTTAGTCTTAAATTACTATTTTTCGAAGTTAGGTATGTTGCACAGTTGATTATGTGGTCACTTTGTTGTATTGCAATTGAACCTCCTAGCTTTTACTAACAAAAAGAAATTTCCTTTTGATTGCTTGAAAGATCTTTGTGATGATAGAGGATACATGGCTGATCATATGGGTTGTAACGTTATCACGTCGGCTCAAATAGCTCTTTTCTTCACTTGTAATCCTAGGTTACTACTTATCACACTGGTCATAGAAAAGAACACAATTTCTGGTGAGAAGAAATTTTTTTGACTTCTGAGTTCTACAGGGTGAGGAGCTGAGGAAACAAATTGAGACAACAGCGTACATTGAGTGCAGCTCAAAAATACAGCAGGTTTGTTGATATTATCCCATATTCCTATGCCTAAGATGAATATTTTTCCGAGTTGGATATTATAGGCTGATCCTTATAGCCATTGATAAATTGCTAGACTCAGTCTCATTCTCATTATGACCTTGTAAAATTGTTACTTGTTTAGAATGTGAAAGCTGTGTTTGACACTACCATCAAAGTTGTTCTCCAACCTCCATGGAGGAATGAAGTTACTAGAAAGAGAAGACACAGAACCTTTGGCTGTGTCTTTGTGTAAGTTGCTGCATTTCAATTTGATCATGCATATTCTCTGCCTTTCTTATTGAAAAAGTTTAGAATGTGAAAGCTATGTTTAAACTTCTGGTATGAAAGATTTTTCAGAGACTACAATCATTTTATTTATTTTTTTGGCCAATCTTGGAAGAAACCTTTTAACGGTTCTGTAATCATCTTCTTCTCTCTGAAATAGGTGGGGAATAGTTTGCGGAGGATGTGCTGCTTAATCAAGCCTAACAAGTTGATCATCTGTCAGTGGCATCAAGAATGAATCTTTCATCAACTGTATAATAATCTTTGACCTATATATAACATGACTACTTACTGGTAGTAGACTTGTAAGTGTTTTGGTGGGAGGGGGGAGTTTTTTAGGGGCTCAATGAAATGCGGGCGTAGACCATATTGATGGCACAAAAACACAAACTAATATTGTCTCCTGTGCTTAGTTTTTTTTTTTTATTAGCCAAAGATGTTCATAATAATAACCTATTGACCTTTAAATTAATCTATTCAAACTGTTTTTAAACTTGGCAATAAATCATAATCTATCTAGTATAATTGATTATACAGTTTAAAATTGTTGCTACTCCTCCATAGTTCACCATAAACAGCACAACAGTTAATTTACTCACCAAAGTGTAATAAAAACGTATAAGGATAAGGATAATAAAAATCATAAACAGCACCGTAATTAATTTACTCACCAAAGGGTAATATAAACGTATAAGGATAAGGATAATAAAAATCATAAACAAGAGATATTACTAATTAACAATAACACTGAAAAAAACATATTCATTGATATTAAAATAGCGCTTTGCCTCTATTGACTTGGAAAAAAATCAGAAGTTCTACAATAATTTAAAAAATGTGGAATCTTGGATATCAAATACTAATAAAATTAGAGTTCTTGAGATTTGTACTATTTCAGAATTTAGTTTTTATTGTGATTCCTATGTAAAAGAATGTGTTATTAGTCTGAATTTAATAATTAAAAAGAAAACACTTTTCGTCTCGAATAAGGCTTATGCCAAAATTTTTACTATTCAAATACTGAATTTGATTTTTCCGAATAAGAATAAAATAAAATGCTTCGATTATATTTAATATTACCCGATTACACATTACTAAGTCTAACAGAGAAATATATTTTTTTTAAACATTCTTAATTACGATTTATATTACATAAGTATTAGTAAAAACTGGTCGCCCAACGCGCGACACCAAAAGACTAGTCGAGACGAAAAAGCATTGTTTGTTTAGAATATATTAATCGTTAAGACCATGTCTTAAACTCAACAAAGAATAGAAATGGGAGAGATACAATCATACAAAGAGAAAAAAACATTCTTCAACTATAACCTTTTAAAATTGACTGGAGTTCTAATCCTGAACATGTATGGACTACGTTTGAGGTAAACGACGCGTCCACTCAAAGCAAATCAAATTCTCATAGAGTAGTAAGAAATCTCATTACAACATAGGCCAGTCAAATTATGAAATGCCTTGATTCTGCTAAGCCGCATGACAGAAGGTATAAGTATCTTCAGTTGAGGTCTTGCGGAACGCTTCTTTTCTTGGCCAATTAATGATTTTAGCAACTCATGATCTTTAGCCAAATCAATTCTCCACTCTAGAGCAACACCATAATCCAAATAAGCATAATTATTGTTGGCACCATGAAAATCAATGCCGCGTAATGGAGGACCATCATCAACCTTTTTTGCAAAGTGAAAACCATGCGGTATTGGCTTCCCTTTACTTCGCTTGCTTCTTCTGCTGGCGGAACATCTCCTGTCATAAAGCCATGTATGATTAGACTTCTGCTTAACCGGTGAAGAATCTGTTGCATTATTGACCAATTCGGCACTACTGTTGCACCGTCGATCTTGGAAGCCATCGTTAGAAACTGCAACCTGTTGGTCTGCTGCTGCTTCTTTTGGAAAAATAGCATCTAAGCATTGTGCCAGTTCACCTGTCACAGATAAATTAGCATCAGGTACATCCACTTATCCTTGCTCCTGCTCACTCTTAGTTTCGTCAACACTTGGACAAACATAATTATCATTTGCAGGTGAAACATTGTCGCAGTTGTCACAAATAATCTCCTTAATATCATTGTCGCTGCTAGAAGAGTCATAAGATTTCCTGTAGTCAACCTTGACAAACTTGTTTTCAACAATATTAGGTTCATTAGACAAACAAAACGAATCAGTATGCCCACAATGCTCAGTAACAACTATAGTTTCAATAATCGGCAATCATTCACTCCCCGAAACGGTATTTAGTTGCTATGACACCTGTTCATTTACAGTGACAAACGCTTGTTGGGGGTGCTCAGACTTTGTCTGCAGGTCCTCCCTAAGATTGCCACATTTAGCATTAAAATCACTAGGTACTCCCCCGGGCATCGACGATAAATCTGTCACAGAACTTTCTTGCAACTGATCTGCTGTTACAACTGAACTTTTACTTGCTTCTTGTGTCTGCTGTTTTTGCTGTACCACTTGTAAATTCTGTACTTACAATAATACTTGCTCATGATATTGCGCCGACGAACCCTGATGTTGCTGCGTCGATGATTCTGCTCGCTGATGTTGCACCAACAACAATTGTTGTTGATGCGTCGACGACAGAACTTGCTGGTACTGTGGCGAAAGAAACTGTTGATGCAGCGCCTGTACCTGAACTTGGAGACATTTCAGTGACAAAACCTGCTGCTGCAGTGCCTGTATCTGCACTTGAACCTGATGTAGTTGCGCATGCAAAAAAACTTGTTGATGCTGCGGCGACAGAACTGCTGTGGTTGCGCCTACGACAGAACATGCCGATGTTGCACCGACGACACCTGTTGTTGTTGCTGCATCGGCACCTGTTGCACCATACTTTGACCATTATGTGTAACCATAGGAATACCTCCAACGGCCAGCCCCTGAATCTTGAGGGATCTTGTACCATAGACTCATCACGCTATCTGTAAACCCAACTAGATTGTTGTTTCGCGCCATATTGACTATAAGATTGAGGAAAGCTGCTATCAAAGGTAGCCTGCCATCCAATATTATTTTTAGCCCCAAAATAATTATGTGCTACTTTTGAAACTACGGGCTGTTGAGAGATATGTGTAGCAAGTGGTGATAGATTATAAGAATATGAAGATTGAGGATTATTAGGTGACCTATTATATGGAGAATAAGTATAGATCGGATTCCTATGGCTACTAAGACCATAAATATGACTATTAGAATAGTCCATAATAAGAAAAAAAAATAGAGAATTTTTTTTGTAATTTTTTTTAAGAAGAAAGAGAGATTTCAAAAATAGAGATTTTAAGAAGAAAGACCATCACGATCTAGGAATCAAGCCAAAGCTTGTCGCAGCGGGCGTGCCATTTTTTTTTTTTATGTTTGAGCAAAAACTGTCAATCGGATCGTGGAATGGGTGAAGAAAAATACCCAAACACAAAAACAAATCAAGCGATTGTGGAAGTGTTCGAAAACCGGCCTCGGACCTAGAATCGAAGACTTAGGATTAACTTTGGTTTAATATTAATAAAAAATATATAGGGAAGAAATGAGACAAGCCAAAGTGGTGGCCTTGAATTGATTAAATTGGGGAGAAAGAAATATATGTAGCGCTAACTCAGTATAGAGACCGTCGATAATACGGTATTATAAGGAGAATCAAATTCACTGAAGTAGAAAACAATGAACGATTACCAATTTCTATAAGAAAAACAGGCTAAAAATTATCTAAGCTAGGCTATATTAGGAAAACATGATAAAAGTACACAAACAAAAAAGACGAAAAAAAAGAAAAAATGAATCATATCGATTGATGACATTGAGAGGTTGTTGTTTGTCTTCCGTGCGGCTTCCTTAAATAAGAGTAAAAGTCGGCTGCTGATTGAATTCTTGGGCCGAAATACTTGCTAAGGATTTGGATTAAGTATTCACTTGAACGGCGGCTGAACAAAATACTTCTCCTTTTGATTAAGTTGGCCAGCCGATAATGTCTCCTAAACAACCAAAATGGACTCCAATTCTTCATGCATGCTGGAAGTAGAATTCCCATAGTAGACAAATAGCCAATCCAATTGCGAAACCAAAAATTAAGTATCCGTATTCAGTAGGATTCCTCCCATGCAAAGCCATAGTGCCTGATGAATTGATTACTTCACGTGGCATTCCCCCAATATTACTCCTAATTGAACTCAAATAACCAAGCCAACAACTGGAGTTTTCACCCAAAATGTCCTCCAATTATTTAGGAAGCAGTAGCCGTACGTGAGAACCTTCTTAGAACCAAGCCAATTAACCCTCCAATTAATTCCAATCCGGCTGGAGATAATATTTTAGTTTCAAATATAATCTCTAAAATATAGGAAGCAAACTAAATTAGCCTAAAATTCTTTCGCTGCTTAAATCTTTTTCCGATTTGAACACTAATACTGGAGTTTTCGACCTGTCAAAAGACCCAAATTAATTTTGGGGTCCAACAACTACAAATGAATGATTATATATATTCACTGGGGAAGATTTTAGTACTGTAATCTATCTATCTATAATAATCCCCATTATTATAACAAAAATCATGTTTTTCCTAAAATTCCAAATGTCACACTTTCTTTAAAAGTGTCCCCGCCCAAAACCCAAAAATATCATTTTAATTTATTTAATTAATTTATCAAAAGAAAAAAAAAAACAAAATAAAACAAAAAACCGAAATGTTCAAATACATGATTACTTTCACACATAACTTTCTTTCTTCGAAAAGGTGTTGGATATCATTTTACTATCCAAGAAGGGGTTGGATACGAGCGGAAAAGGCTCAACAACATTAGCTTTTGCACTTTTGTCAACCTTGACCACTATTTATCCTTGGTAATGATGAATGTGACAATTTTCTTCACTAAAATAAATTATTAATATTTTTTTTCCCTAATCTTATATCCGTGCGAACCCACAGATCCAGAACCTGGTATGATTTATAAAGCTGAAACTAAAAGGATGCGAAGGCTCACGCCTGAATTATGAGCCCTTTCCGTTACTGTACGGTTTGTACCACTTTCACTGGTTTATTATTAATTACTAGGTGTTAGACTCGTCCGATGGACGGGAAAGGCATACACATTATAGACATTTTTATGTAAATTTTATATTTTTATAAAATATGTAATGACTTCAGTTTTAAACATGATTACCTCTAGATTTACAGGAATTTATTTTTTTTAAATGACATTTTAAATTAACTGGTGATAAGATTTATGCAGATCTCCTAAAATTTGTTAGGATTTGGTATTCTCTCCAATCACTCTCTATGTTAGGATTTGGTTCATGAAAATAAGGGTTCAGTTTTTATTATTTTGTTTTTTTAAAAAAATTATTTCAGTTGCTTTTTTTGTTTTATTATTTTGTTTTGTGCATTTTTAAGTCTAGGAAATTAAGAAAATGCCACATAGGATTAGTATGTGCTACATGCCTTCAGTTTTCTCTCTCTAATTTTTGCCTTATTATAGTATATAGATAGATTATAGTATACTTCACCTCATAAAAATCAATGTAGCATCATAGGTAACAGCTTTCATCAAAATATTCAGTTAGTTCTTGATCTCACATCGGCTAGACGACTATGGCATGAGTTAAGTTTGTTATGAAGTGGACTAAAAGTGCTTAAGTTATATTTGGGTTAGTTTTAGCTGAGTGCCTGAGTTAAATTATAAGGACCAAAGAAACATGCATTCTTGGCTTGGAGCAACGAAAGCATTGCTGACAGACTTTTCTTTTTTTTTCTTTTTTTTTTCTCTTCCATTAATTAGTTTAGGAGATTTCGTTTGTTGGTGGCCGATTTTCCCAAATAGTTTTCCGTTCCAAAATGATTTTTCATTTTGTTGTATAAGGGGCGGTAGTGAAAATATTGAATATAACTTCATTAAGTTGCTAATGCACACTATTACTTCTTATATCACCATAAGATAATTAGTTTAGGAGATTTCGTTTGTTGGTGGCCGATTTTCCCAAATAGTTTTCCGTTCCAAAATGATTTTTCATTTTGTTGTATAAGGGGCGGTAGTGAAAATATTGAATATAAATTCATTAAGTTGCTAATGCACACTATTAGTTCTTATATCACCATAAGATAAGAGTAACATATAACGTAAAAAAAAATTTGGATTCTTACATGGATTTTGGGTTGGAATTGAAGCTCCAGTTATGTTGGTGGATTTCGGATTTGCTGTTGTATCTGGCCATTTCTCAAGCTTTCTTGAGTTCCTAGCTAATGGATGTGTTTGGTCGGTACGAATTGAACCACTGCATATCTTCAACTAAACTTCTCCCACAGTCCAATTACACTTAATATACTCTTATGTGAGTCTGTATCCTGTATACCCGGAGGCACCGTGTACCCCTCTTATTTTTTATATTTTTAGCTCTTATTGTACTTTCTATCAATCTTTCAATATTTTGCAAGTTTAGTCCCTGTCATTTTTTTCTCTCTCTTTCAGAAAAAACATCTCTAATCATTCAACAAGCATATCTCCCAATCCGTGAAGAATTTGTGAACGAATTATATATGGAATTTATAGTACTCGTCGAGATCTATCCAACAAAATTCATAGTGAATATTTTTTTCGGGCTTAAAAATGACTTAATTCTGATGGACAGAATAGGGGTGGATATCCTATTTTACAAGATGGATAATCAACTTATTCTAAATTGGTTATCCATTGTGTTCATACTGATTATCCAATCAGTTTGAACTGGTTATCCATTTTGTTTCTACTGTTTATCCATTTGGTTATCCAACTTCTTAATTCAAAATAAGTTGGTTATCCATCTTCTTAAACTGGATATCCAATGTGTTCATATTGATTATCTAATGCGCTAATACTGGTTATCCAATGGATTTACATGCTTATCCAAATTATTTGTATTGGTTATCCACTATGTTCATACTGATTATCCAACTTGTTTGTACTGGATATCCATCCATTTGGTTTATATCCATATCCAACTCTGATCTTTCAACGAGCATATCTCCCAATCCGTGAAGAATTTGTGAACGAATTATATATGAAATTTATAGTACTCGTCGAGATCTATCCAACGAAATGCACAGTGAACATTTTTTTGGGCTTAAAAATGACTTAATTCTGATGGGCAGAATAGAGGTGGTTATCCATCTTTTTTTTTTTTGAAGAGTGAATGTCAAACATATGATTGGACAACAAGTACGAACAGAATGGATAATCAGTCCAAACTGGTTGGATAATCAGTAGGAACACAACGGATAACCATTTTTCAAAGAAAAACAAAAAACACATTTCTTCATTTCTGCCCGTAAAATTTAAATGCACTAAAAGTTCAAAAAAAATATTCAACATGGATCTTATCGGATAGATGTCTTCGAGTACTATAAATTTTATATATAATTCGTGTTATAATTCTTTACGAATCAAAAGATACAAGGAACACAACAATATGAATGTAAAATAAAGTAGTTATCCATCTTCTTATACTGGATATCCAATGTGTTCATATTGAATATCCAACTTCTTTGTGGTGGTTATCCAGTATTTTTTTTCCTTGCTCTTTTATGAAAATGATTGTCAAACTTGATTATTTATGTTAATATTGTTTATCCAACTAATTAGTATTATTTATCTAACCTGGTTTTTCTTTTTATTATTTTTTAAAAAAAATAATAAACTAAGTTAGTTATCAAACTCGTTTGTATTGGTTATCCAATCATTAGTTTGTACTGGATTATCCAATGCGCTAATGCTGGTTATCTAATAGATTTATATAGTTACCTAAATTGTTTGAACTGGTTATCCACTGTGTTCATACTGGTTATCCAACTCGTGCATACTGGTTATCCAACGGATTTATATGGTTATCCAAATTGTTTGTATTGGTTATCGACTGTGTTGATTCTGATTATCCAACTTGTTTGTACTGGATATCCAACTTGTTTGTACTGGATATCTAACTTAATTCTGCCCATC